GTCGGGTGGGGACACGCGGACGCTTGGCGAGGTCTGGCCGAGCTCGGCAGAGGCTCTAGGGGAGACAGACTGGCCTCCCGAGGTCACCGCTGCGGGCAGCCCCGGCAGCACCCGCGACCAGCCCGGCTGGGGCTCTCGGCGCAGTCGGCTCCTCTTGAAGAGCAGCCTCTGGGCTGGACTCGGCCGGCCTGGGCGCGGGGAGCCCCCTCCCTCCCCCCTTGCAAGCGAACCGGGTGTTGGGCCCTGAGACTGTCTGCGACTGTGAGCAGTCAGGTGGGAACCCACAAACCTGCCGATCCCCCCAATTTCTGCTCTCCCTCCTGACCTCGAACTGAACTTTTTTCTTTTCTTCGATCCCACAGCCCTGAAGCGCAGGTCTTGTTCACCGCGAAGGCCACACAGCAGAGGCCCAGCGCCTCGGTGACTGTCTCAGGCCACACTCGGCGTTAGCTGCTGTGTGCCACCGGTTCCCAAGCCCACGGTCTTTTTTCTTTTTTAAATAATATAATAGTTTATTCTTACATCATTTTGTGCCTTTTTCCCTGGAGCTTCCCGCCTCCCACAAGGAGCCAGGCCCGCTGGCCCTGCTGGGCACGCAGGCAGAGGGTGGACGCAGGGCAGTGACACAGCACGGAGGCCCCGGCGCCGGCTCAGGGCCTCCCGAGTGACCCTGCAGAGCCAGGGGTGCAGGGACCCTGGCACTGGCTAAGGATAGAATCCACTGCCCGTCACGGCCTCTGGCCTCCTGGCTCCCACTTGGGGCGCCCCTTCGAGGCGCGTGCCAATCCGACCTCCAGAGGGTCCCCGATATGTGACTTGAGGCTGGAGATTCGCCAGCCCCAACCCCAGCACGGGAGAGGGTGGGGCGTGGGTCCCTGCAGACCGGGAGAATACACCTCTGTTGTCTCAGCTGCTGTGACTATTCTGGGGCCCAGGGCATCCCTGCGGTGCCAGGGCTCCCCCACACCTGCTCGCTCCCCAGTCTCTGTGGCCTGCAGAGAGCAGCTGGAGTTGCAGCTCCTTGAGGCAAGTTCTCCTGCAGTCAGTGCAGCTGGGAATCAAAGATCCGTCAAATACGGTCAGTCTCCGGGTCAGTCTCATCGACTGGGGTGGTAGGAAATCTCGCTTCTGGAGAAGCAGCTGCCCCCCACGCGAACCCACTGCCCCGCCCCGCACACTGCCCCCCACCCAGGGCCAAAAAGGAGAGACCCGCGAGCCCCGGCTGCTTACGAACATTTATTTCAGGAAATACACTTTGAACACTTTGTTATTTATACAAAAAGAGCCGCGGTTCTCAGGAGGCGCGAGCGCAAGGCCACTGTGGAACAGACCCCAGGACACCAATTCTCGAGATCTGCTACAAGGAAGGAAAGCGAAGCCGTCTGCCGGAGGCCGCTGCCCGGGCGCACCCGCGGGGTGCGATGGCCAGCCTTTGGATCTCGGTTTTGGCAAATCGTGGCAATTCGGCAAGTAAACTGTGGGTGAGGTGGGTCCTTCCTCTCGGGGCGACACGCAAGGCGGTGACGTCCATGCACACGCACGCGCGGCCCAAGCCGCCTGCACCCCTCCCGGGGCTGCGGCCCGACCCTGGGGGCTGCGGACCAACCCCACCTCATCTGTCTCTGGTCCTGGGGGCAAAAGTGGGGTTCCCACCTCCCCCAGGCAGGGCGTGGGTGCTCCTGGCTTTTCCTCTGGAGAAGACTGAGGGTGGAGGCGCTGGAGACACCCCAGCTCTGCCCTGTACGCCAGACCCCTCCATCCCTGGCAGTCAGCCTGACAGGCTCAGGGGCCAGGGGCCCAGTCCGGCCCGCCTGGTGTCCACCTCCCGGGCACGGCCGGGCATCTGGGCCCACGCAGACGTCTAGCTACACCCACGTGCAGTCACGCAGGGTGGGGTGGACACCCAGACCCTCTGACCACCCCGGTCCCGCCCCATCCACCAGAACCCCCCACCCGGGGCGCCCCCCCACTCCCCTGCTTAGCCTTCCCCCAAAGGGCAGGGCTTGGTGGGGTGGGGCGTCTCCTTGCTGCCTTGCAGCTCTCAACTGAGTCCTGGCGAGGGCGGGGGGCGATGGGGGGGGACACCGCCCTCTCCGACCTGCCATGATCTTCCGAGCCAGGGGACAGTGAGGGACAGTCTGCGGCTGGCTGGCTGCGTGGACGCGAGATAAAGGCACTTTCTGCTCCAGGCGGGGCTCGCAGCGGGTCCCCACCCAGGATTCTCCGAGTCTAAGCAACTGGCAACTGGAGTCTGGAGGAAGGAGCTGCCCCTCGGGGCGGGGTGGGGCCGAGAGCCTGGGCGCAGGGGCAGCTCCAGCGGTGGCCGCCACGGGGGCCGCCAGCCCTGGCCCGGGGCAGGGGCCAACAGGAAGGCGGGGGGCATCAAGGTTACCTGGCAGCGTCGAGGGGCGCTGACAGTGGGGGAACTACATGGAGTGGTGGGGCGAGGGGCGGCCGGCCGGCCGGGCGGCGGGGGCGGGGGCGGGCGCTACATGCCCTGGGCCTCGGGCTCCGGCTCCCCCAGCCCGTTGGACACGGTGCCGCTGCTCTGGTGCAGGCGCTTCACGCGGTAGGCCTCGAAGTGGATGCTGCTGGTGATGTCCTTGATGTTCTGCATGTGCGTCCTGGGGGCCCGAGGGGTCAGCGGGGCAAACGCAGGCCCCGCCCTCCTTCGGCCACCAGGCTGCCCGGGACTGGGCAGGGGCCGTCTCCGGACGCACTCACACCCAGACACCCCCGCCCCCTCCCTACGGGCAGGCCAGGGGGCAGTGGGTAACCACGCCCTGTCAGCCTGCTGGGCCCGGACTCTGGCGTGCCAGAGATGAAAACGGGGTGTCCTTCCCGAGCCTGGCTCTGGCGCGTAGGGCAGCTCCCCGACTGGAGGGCCCCAAGCCGGCCAGGCCGGTCCCCTCCCGGACTGTCCCCAGCAGCCGCCTGCCCCCGCCAGGCGCCCCCTTCTCCACTGTCACCTGGCAGCCCAGCCCCCACCGGGCCTGTGAGGCCGTGGGGGAGGGGCAGGCCCACGAGCGGGCACCATCCTCCGCCCGGGTGCCCTTCCTGCTGCCGCCAGGAGACGGGCACAGGCTCCCCCGCCCGCCAGCAGCGCCCCGCACCCGCGGCAGGGCCGACTCTCACCTGATGAGTAGGTCCCGCAGGTAAGCGAACTCACAGTGTGTGGTGTTTTCAACTGCGAGAGGAGAGGCCGGAGGTCACCCGCAGGCCCTCCGCCACCCTCACCCCCACTCCCCGCGGGGCTGGGGTGCAGGGCGCTGCCAGGCGCCCAGGCCGGTGAGCCGGGGAGCGGGACCACAGCCCACAGGTGAGCCCAGGCCCGCTCTCCGGAAGGCTTCAGGGCGCCCAGCAGGCAGAGGACACGGGCCCAGCAGGACGGGGGAGAGCTCAGCGAGAAGGTGGGTGCTGGTGCTGCTGGGGCCGGGTGCAAGAGAACCTGGGGGATCTCCCCCGGGGTCACACACCCCGGGGCCCCTGCCCGGAGCCACCCAAGGCACAGCCCTTTGGAGGGAAGGCTGTGGGCCCTCGAGGTCCGGCCTCACGCAGCTTGGGAGGTGGGAGCCCCCTCCGCCGGGGCGCCCCCCATCCGCAGGGCCCCAGCGTGTCCTCGGGAGCGGCTGGCGGCGGCGTGGGCCACCAGGGGGCAGCAGAGGCGCAAAGGTGCCGCCGACGCCCCGCCCCAAACTCTCCTGGGCCTTCACAGAAAGTTCCTTAAGATGGGCACTGCCTGGCAGGGGCGCGAACCGCCCCCAGGACCCCTCTGGCGGAGGGGAGCAAGGGAGACAGGGATCCACACGCCCCGCCCCCAAGGGCTGCCACCCCTCCAGGCTTGGTGGGTCCGGGGCCAGGGTGGGCCCGGGCAGTTTCCTCCCTGCACCCTCCAGCAGGGGCAACCAGGGCCCCAGACCCCCAAAGGCCCCTAGGCAGGCTCACAGGCCCCACTGCTGGAGGAGGGAATGGAGGCCCCCGGGGCCTGGGGGGCAGCTGCTGCTCCTCTGGACCCTCAGCCAAGTGACTGAGGGGTCGGGGCCCCCCTCCAGCAGAAGGACCGGCAGGCAGGCCGCCCAGGTAACCTCCCCGGGGTGACCCCGGAGGGTCCCGTCCGCCCTTCCCACCCCTGCAGGGCGACTCCAGCTCGGCAGGTGGGGCAGAGCCTCCTAGGAGACGTCTGAGGGGTCCTTAAGGGCCGGGGTCACTCTGGATTTAGGGTGCCCTGAGCCAAAGATCAGCATCCTTGGAAGACTTGGACACAGAGAGGGGGGCCTCCGAGAGGGCAGTGCTGTCACCCCGGCGAGGGAGGGGCCGGCCCATGCTGCCCAGAGGAACTGCTGCCCCTGGCGCTGAACTGGCCTCCTGGAGAGCCCGGTGCACTAAGTGGGGGCGCCTGGGACCCCTCCAGGGGTGTGGGGGATGACACTGGGTCTGAGAGCTCAGCCTTGCTCTTTCCCTAGACCTAGAGTGGCGACACATGGTCACATGGCCGGGCAGTGGCGGGGGGGTCACGCGGCCTGCCCGTGGGGGGCGGGGTGGGCTTGGCAGCAGTGGGGGATCACATGGCCTGCCTGTGAGGGGGGTGAGGGGTTCACACAGCCTGGCCGCTGGAAGGCGGGGGGTGTGATTCAGCCTGGCCACGAGGGCACCCAGTCTGGCCATTGCGGCTGGGCGGGGGTCACACGCCTGGCTGCAGTGCGGGCAGCTCCTCCCTCGGGGGAGGGCGGAGGACTGCAGGGGGACACTGACTGCAGAGGACTGAGGCCTGGACTGGATCCCCAGTTCCCCAAGTGGGAACACCATGGGACCCCTGCGACCGGGGTGCAGCCCGGCAGGAGGGGTGCCATGCTGAGGGTCTGGACAGCACCCCGTTACCTTCAATGGTGCCCCATTTGGTTTTCCTCCCGAGGATCCTCTTCCCGTTCACTTGGTACTCGTGGTCACTGCCCACCACGGCGAACGGGATCATCTCCTGGGGGCGGGGGGGCATTGGTCTCGGCCGGCAGGAGCCGCCTCGGGCCCCCCAAGCCCAGGGCCTCCGTCCACCCCACTGCTCCCCAGGCCCTGCCCCAGGGAGGCCCCGCCCATCCCACAGGGTGGCCCACGCACTCGGAACTTCTCGTTCACCATCCGGTCCTCGGAGTCCTCGTCAAACTCCTTCTGGGGGTACACGTCGATGCCGTTGGACAGCAGGTCCGCGGTGATCTGGGGGCCAGAGGGGGCCGTGGGCACCACGGTGAGGCCTGGCCTGGGTGTTGGCCCCCAAGACGTCCGCACCGGGCAGTGGGCTGGGTCCGGGTGGGCCGGGGACCCGGCTCTCCAGGCCGCTGCCTCGTGGGCAGGGGCAGCTGTGGCGGGGACAGCGGGAGACCCCCGCCGTCCGTGCCTGTCTCCACGCCAGCTCCTCACCGGGCCCCTGGGGCTCCCTGGGGCCGCCAGCGTCCCCCACCCCAGCAGGACGCCCAGTGCCCAGCTGGGGTGACAGCCAGGCCGGAGCCGCTCTGGCAGACACACCCACCACCGGGGGGCGCCCTCCCTGGGGCTCCCCTGGCCTGCACCACCAGCCAGTCAGGGCTCAGCTCAGACCACTGACTGAGGGAGGTTCGGCTGGCTCCGGGCACCTTGTGTGGCGCGTCTGGACACAGCAGAGGACCCCAGCCACAGCACCCCTGGCGCTGCTCATATTGAGGGGACCTGGCCGGCCCGGCCCGAGGGGGGCCCTACCCGCTGCTTGAAGTAGACCCTCTCCTCCAGGGTCAGCGTGTCGGCCTTAGCGATGACCGGGACGATGTTGACCACTTTGCTCAGGCGCTTCATGAACTCGATGTCCAGGGGCCTGAGGCTGTGTGGGAAGGACAAGGGTGGGCGTGGGCGGGGCAGGGCCTCCGCGGCTCAGCTGTGCGCCCCCACCGGCAGCAGGACGTAAGGGTCGGCCGCAGGCAGGGAAAGGTGGGTTCAGGCAGAAGTCTGACCCCAGGAGGGGGAGGGGCCAGCGCAGCAGGGGCGGGGCAGAAGGGCGCACGGGCCCTGGACTGGCGTGGTGGGCCTCAGCCGACCCCTGCCCCCGGAGAGCGATGCGCCTGGTCAGGCCCGCAGGGCTGTCGCCCAGCAGACCCCCGCTGCAGCGCCCAGGCCTCCCGCGACTGGGCTCCCACCCCAGGGCAGGCTCGGACCCCACTTGGGTTTTCCCGAGACGCCGTGGAGGCTGGCCGCCTCGGCGGGCTCCTGCCTGTCGCAGGGCCAGTGGGGCCGGGCTCCCCGCTCGGGACACCCCAACAGGGGCTGGATTTGGCACAGGGGCCGGGAGGCTGGGAGAGAAGCCAGGCGCACCCCAAAACCAGGCCACCCCAAACCAGGCTGCTGGTGCTGAACACTGCGGGGCTCCCGCACCAGGGAGGGGCGGGGGCAGGGCCGGCTGGAGCCGGGGGCGCAGGCGCCCAGTACAAGTGGCCTGCCGGGGACATGGGAGCCCACGTACAAGTGGCTGGTGGGGGTGGGGGACTGGGGGCGCGCGGGCCGGGGCGCACGTACGAATGGCCGGGGACGGGGTTCCCACGTACGAGTGGCCAGGGGCAGGGGCCGGGGCGCCCACATATGAATGGTCAGGGGCGGGAGCGGGGAGCGCCCACATATGAGTGGCCGGCGGCAGGGGCCAGTGCGCAAGTAGGAATGGCCGGGCCGGGGCCTGGGTGGGCCGGGGGCGGGGCCGGGGCGGGCCGGGGGCGGGGCCGGGCGCACGTACGAGTGGCCGGTGGCCGGGATGAAGTAGAGGCAGCAGTGCACGCGCGTGTCGGGGATGCGCTTCTTGCGGTTGATGTTGACCTCCTCCTGCAGGTACTTCTCGTACTGGTCGTTGATGAACTTCATGATGGGCTGCCAGCTGTGCGGACCGGGGTCAGCCTGTCCCGCGGGCGCCCCGCGGACCCCCACCGCCCCCCACCCCACGCGCACAGACTTTATGAGCGGAGGGGGCCCCAGGCCAGCAACCCCGGCCCTGGGGCGGACGGCGCCCCGCGGACGCTCTGGCCAGGACGGGGCTCCAGCCCGGGGACC